GGACCACAGCCCCTGATGAAGAACTGACAACAGAGTTGTAGTCCTGGGTTAGGGTAGGGCATCAGCAGGGGAACTGGACAGAGCCTGACACTCCTAGATTAAAGCCAAAGTAAAGGTGAGATGGAATGGAAACAAGGACTGGAGAGTAGAGAGCTGTCATTCAAGGAACAGAACACACACCCAGAAGTTCCTCCCTTCTGAGGACATTGACTCCAAAATCCTGGTGATTTGATTAGATCTTGTGTATGAGGCTGTGAGAGTTGGATGGATAGGAAGGGGTATGGTATATCCAAAAACTTCCAGAGTCGTGCTTATTCCATTAAGGAAGAAGGTTCAGAACTTGTCAAAATTTGGGTGGTAAGGGCTGGAAGCCATTCCTACAATACCTTTAAAGAAAAATGTACCGAGTTAGCACCTAAGAAGCCTGAATGACACCAAAAGCATGGATCCAAAAAATATGCTATGAACTTAGGATAGGAGTGCAGACACAGCAGAAATTGACACCTGAAGGTAAAGCACCCATGAACCCAACTGGGAGAAGATGGGGAAGACCCTGAGATTTGCGTTGTCTCTGTCAAATACTCCTTGGGAGAGGAAAAACTAATTCAAATCATAAAGGCAGTTTGAAAGCACCGGTGAATGAAAAAGATGATGCCTAATCAACCAGAAAGGCTCTATCTTTGGTGGTACTTAGGCCAAAAGTTCTATTCTGAATCATGAGGACTATCCTGACAGCTTCTGGATCAGCTACTTGGGCTCCCCAAAGTAAGTGGACAAAAAGGAACTGCCCCTCTGCAATGGACACCCCAAGTGCTTTGTCACTGCTTTTACAAAGTTTGCTTTCCGGTAGAGCCCTATCTCGGCACAACTCATTGGGAAATCAAGACCAGAAGTCATCTGTGACCAGCAACCACTGAGGAAGTGCCCTGCCCTTGTTGTTACTGGTGGCTTCTTTTGCACCAACATTCTGCATCATTTCTGAGAAGCTGTACCTCCTCCTTCTTAGATCCATGATGGTCTTGTCTGTGGACATCACAGCAAATCACAAACCCAAAGGTTCTGCACTCCTTGTTACGTCCAGGCCATCAGACGTTCTCCAGACATGTGCCTGTATCCAGCACACTGGTGGGAAACCCTAACCAGCACCCCGGGGTCAGGTGACTCCATCCCCAGCACTCTTAGCTACTTGCCTTTTCTCACATAAAACTGTGAAGGAAACAAAGTGCTTTTTAGGGACCCAGTTTCTGTGCCTTTCTTTCTTTTCTTTTTTTTTTTATTTTTTAATAATTATTTATTTAATTTTATTTATTCATCCATTTATTATTTTAATTTGACCAGAGAGAGACAGAGAGAGAGGGGGGAAGTGAGAAAGCAAGCCACCAGGCCCCGGATTTGAACCA